TATCATAAATTTCATAGTTCTCAGCCAGATCTTAATTTGAGAAACGAGAAAGTGATTAAGGAATTAATGGTAATTAGGAAAGATTGCCTTAAAATTAAAATATTTATTCATGTTTTAATTAAACAGTAAAATGTAAATTTAAAAAGATGAAATATAATTCAAATTTTTTGCATAATAATAATTTGTAACTTTTTAAGCAACTTTTAAATGTTTAAAACAAATTTAAAAGTAATTTAATTATTTAATAGGCATATATTATTAATTTAAACAAAATTATATCGTAAATTTAATTAACTATATAATTAACACGTGTATTTTAGAATTCTGATCTTGAATTCTTATTTTTTGTAAATTAATTTATAAATAATTGATTTCTTTAAACAGGATATATTTGATTTTTGGTTAGAAAGAAATGTCGATGGTTTTCGGATTAATGCAGTGCCTTATTTTTTCGAAGACAAAGCCTTAAAAAATGAATCCTTTGTAGGAAGGAATATTTACACTTTTGGTTTTCCTGAAAGCACTGCCCTTCTTTATGTATTTTGTGAACATATTGATAACTGGGTATCAAGAATTCTTTTTTATAATAATATTAACATATTACATTATAATATTATATATATATAAGTATATAAGTATATGTGCATAAATTATAAAAATTAATACGATTTAACGACATCATCAGATTGTTAATCGCAGAATCATATGATATTTCTGATGATAATTTATTGGCGTATTATGGCAATAATACGCATAAAGGAATTGCACCATTCAATTTTAAATTGATCACACATATTCGCGACAGTAGTAATGCTACTTATATTAAATACATCTTAGAGAAATGGCTTAAACTTCTTCCGAAATACACCAAAACTAATTGTGTGGTAAGAATTTTAAATAATATAATAATTGCTATAAAAACGGAGATAAATTTTATATATTATGTTAATTTATGATTATATCATTTTTGCCTACTTTAAAAAGAAAAAATGTTAGTTTAAAAGATTAATATATTTCCTTTTTACTTACAAACTTAACGATCTTTTATAAATATAGTTATCAAACCATGACAATTCAAGAGTAGCTTCAAGAATTGGGTTCAACCGAATCGACGGCCTTCACATGCTTAGTCTTCTATTGCCTGGACAAGCATACACATATTATGGCGAAGAAATAGCTATGTTAGACACAAAAATACTTTGGAATAGTACCATTGATCCCATGGGTTGTGCCAGAGGCATAAATGAATACAAATATTTTTCAAGAGATCCAGCTAGAACTCCCATGCAATGGAATTCCAAAAGTTCAGCTGGTTTCTCTATAAATGAAACCATATATCTCCCTATTCATCCTAATTATGTTAATAGAAATGTAGAAATTCAACAAAATAGAAAAAGAAGCAATTTGAAAACGTATAAAGAGCTGGCTATTCTAAGGAAACAGCCAGTTTTTACTAATGGAGATTATGAATTTGCAAGTTTAAATAATGATCGCGTGTTGGTGTTAAAAAGGTTGGTATATACAATATTTATAGATAGTAATAGATAATATCTTATCAGTCAAAACAGAATTTTTTAAATTAATCATTTTTTTTATTAATAATTAGGTCTTTGAAAAATTATCCAGTGTATTTTATCGTAATTAATTTGGGTCTACGGCAAGAGAAAGTTAATCTGATTTCAATTCATGCTAATTTAAAAAATACTTTAAATATTATTGTGGCTTCTAGCAATGCAATTCGCGTCACGTAAGTTGTGCAGAATATTAATTCCAAATTATGTATAAAACAGCTTATACAAAATTTCTTATGAATCTTATAATGATATACTTTATTAAAAAGAAAGTAACAATTAAGTCTTTAGAGTCAATAAATTAATGAATTTTATTACTTCGAAGCATAAACATGATCAAAGAAAAATTTCAGTGTATGATAGAATTATAAATCACCTTGTAAATCGTATTTCAGAGGTACTGTTCCATGGGCTAATTTTATATTAACAGCAAATGCTGCGGTTGTATTAAAAAGCGAAGAAGGACAAGAACAAACCACAACTAAACCAGTTACCACAAGTATTTGTTTTTAATATTTTAACATAAATAAATAAAGCATACATCAATATAAATTTATTTATATCAGTACATATATTAAAATAAATAGTTACTTATATTAATAATTAATAGTTCTATCAGTATAATCAGCATTATTACTTATTAAAAATTTTATCATTTTAGCAACAGAAGAAGATACTGTTTCCACTGATTCCACTGAAAATACATCTTTAACAACTAAGGTAACCAGTTCTACTGAAAAATCTACAACCGAAAGTACGACGAAAAAAGTAGAAGAAATTCCACAACAAAATCAGACAATAATGCAATGTTAAGTTGCGCCCCTGCATTCTTGTTAATAATAAGCAGTATTGTAATATCGTGTAAATTTTAAAAATATTTAAGAGAGAGAGCCGATACAATAGAATGTTAGATAAAAGCTTATTCATTCTAGATACATTTTTAATGATAGAATGTTTTATGTGTATAGATCCATAGATATATTTATTTTTTAAATTATCTTATTCTCGTTCACTTTGAACGTTTAAAAAAACTATGTATGAAACAGAAAATCCATGTTAGTCATAGAAATCCGTAAACGGACACGCGGAATAATGCACAGAAAAAAGGAGAATCCTCGATTCGCATCGAGTTCACCGAATGTGACCATTACAGCAACCTACATTGATCTATGTATGATCAATCGTGGTGTTGATCAAATGAGGAGCGTGTATGTACTTAATGTAATAGATTGATCAAATGGCTGTTGTCGTATATATTCTTACCAGAAACAAAAGCCCATATTCAGAACGCGCTTATGACGATGTCAGCGTGCATTTAGCATGTAATTCACGTTACTACAGAATTTTAGAAATAAAAGCGCGCTAATAAAAGTAGCACGTTCTAGATGCGGAATAGAAGCAAAGGATAAATTTTTGTATCACTGTATCAATAACTCTCACATTCAGTGAATACCAACTAAATAAGACATAACATTAATATTATAATTTTGCGTTCAACAATATAAATATAACACATATATGATGACATAATAGTTACATGA